TAATTTTGTTTTTAAAAAAACCAAAAAAAATACCATGCATTGAATTTAGATTTTGTTTTTATAGTTTTAGGATTAATTAGTTAATTAATTATTTTATTAAAAATAAAAATCACAAAAAATGCTCATTTTACATTTTTTACCTTTTAATTTTTAGATTAGTAAATTTTACAATTATTATAAATAGATAATTAGTTAGTTTTACAATTTAGATTAATTTAGAATTTTTAATTAAAGAAAAAGAAGAAGAAAAAAAAGATAAGAAAAAGAAAATAAAAGGGTAATTGGACAAAAGGTTTTAAACTTGAAATTGGTCTGCTTTAACCCCAAACCCATTCCCAAACCAGGCCACCCGGTCCAGGTCCCCTCATAATACCAAGACGACCCCGTTTTGACCCCAAAGGATCCCGGCCGTTGATCATCACAAATCAAACGGCTGGGAACTGGCTTTTCAATTCATTTATAAGTGTCCGAATTCCAGACCCCCCCCCCCCATTGAACTCCCCTCATTTCACCTTCGTCCCCTTTTCTTTTTGAAACCCTAGCCACCCCCTCGTTACCTCACCGGCTCCGCCTTGCTCCGCCACCGAAAATCTCTCCACGGCGGTGTCGACACCCCAAACCCCACCAAAATTACACCCTATCATCCTCTTTCCCTACCCTTTCCAAATCTCCAAGCCATCACCTTCAAATCCTTATCAAATGTTTCGTATTTTAGATCTAAATCCGGAATTCCAAAACCCTAAATCACCCAAATGCCACCAAATTCACAACATGCAATCCCTCCCTCCTCTTCTTCCCAAATATCCCAATGGTTCCTCTCGAATCAGCCCCAATCTTGTCGAATCTTAAATCTATGATTCCGGAAACCCTAATTGTCCCTGCTCGAGTTTTGTTTAAGGTGGGGTTATATGAACCCAAAGCGCTCATTAGCCGACTGTTCTCAATAAAGAACAGTCGATTAATGGACAAACAAGTACATATTTCCCCCTTTGAAAGTTGGCCAAGTTTAATACTGCCTACCCCAAAGCCTCAGGTCCTTTCTTCTTCCTTTTCTTTTTCTTATTCTTGATATCTGTTCATCTTTGTATTTTTTTTTCATGTACAAAAGGGCTCTGTCTTAAACCGCCAGCAATTAGGTTTCCACTGTGTCTAATTTTCTTTGCATGATCATCTGTTCTTTTGCTTGTTTTCTTTTGTCGATTAGGATTAATTTGTAGCCAATTGTCAACTAATTAGTTAGTCTAGGGTTTCAAATTTCTTATTTCCTTGTTGTTAGTTCTTAATATGTCTTAGTTAGTCAATTTTCGTTTTCAGTAATTATGCATATTTAGGTATTGGAATTGGTGTTTGAGTTTAATTTTGGACCTAATTGATTTAGCCTAATTTGTTAGTAATCAGATGTATTTTAAAATTGAATTCTGATTTTTGGTTAGTTGATGGTTTACTAGTTAATCTTAATTGATTAGTTAAGGATTACTATTGCTACTGTTGAAGTAATTTAAAGAGCAGTTCAGTCATTAAATTAATTGAGTTTAATTGTCCATTTAGATCAAATTAATCAACTTGACCCTCCCTTAGGAATTTAATATAAGCTGCATGGAATTGTTTGGTTTCAGGAATTCAGTAATATGCTGTTTTCTTTTTTGCCAAAGAGGCCCAACTAGTTAGGTCCAAAGTTGACCCGCTATGTAGCCCAGGCCTTGAGTCACAAAGGGGTAATTACAAGGGTATTTCAGGGAAGTTTGGGAATGTTAGCTAAGGAGTCTTAGTTGTAATGGCTTAGGAAACTTCTAGAATCAAGATAAAGGAGCAAATTAAAATAAGAAAATGCATTAGGTCAAAGTTTCTGGGTAAATAGTAAAATTTTAGAATTGAAAAGGGTATAAAAACAGAAGAAGTTTCTAGAAAAGTATACAGTTGTCCTAACTGTTGTAAAAAAGATGCTGAAAATGGACAGTTGTACATTTTCTCCTCTGTCAAGATGTTGTACTATCCCGAAAATTCAGATTTTAGGTTAGAATATGCTTTTTTTGATGCCATTTTAAAAGCACTCTATAAAAGGAAAACATACCCTCATTCATACAGACACAATCATTAGCATTCTTTGCACAAAAGTTCTGAAAATACAGATCTACTGCTCTAAAATAGATATTGATTCTGAAAAAATACCAAGATGAACACAAAAATGCTCTAAAAAATGGTTTCTTTAACTGGGATTTTCTGGTTTGAAGCTGGTTCTTTGGTTGAATTTCTGGGTAGCATTTTGGTTTGTTGTTGCTGTGTTGGTTTTATTGTTGCTGCTCCTTTTCTTTTGAAGTTTTCAACCAATCTTTTCTTTCATCTTATACTTGCTGGTTTCTGATTGCTGTTCATTCAAGGTACTTCCTTCAGTTCCTTCCTCATGTATTGCTGTTTCTTTTTTCTGAAATGATATACTAAGTAATGAACTTGTACAATGAATGGGTTTTGGTGTTTGATTGATTTGTATGGATATAGTTAGATTTACTACTTAAAGAATCAGCATGACTCCCATTGTATGGCTTAATATTATATGTGACCTCTTCCCTTTTACATGTTCAAACTTAAAAAAATTGTTAAACTTTAGGCTAAAATGTGAAGGTTCAGCATGCTGAAATGGTCATCTGCTTTTCTTTTGCTTTGTTATTTCAAGGATAGGGATGCAGTAGTCAATAGGATCCACGTAAATGCTGAAGCCTGCTTTTATTTTTATTGCTTTGTATGTGAGTGACCATAAAGCCAAGAAACCTCAGGGCTGGAGCTTGAAATGTCGACTTGTGAGAAACAGCTATATAGCTGATTTCTTGCAAGTTTACACCTTGATTTGAAGGATTTGATGGCAGGAGAAAAACCTGAAGTTAGGAGAAATTTTCCTTTTGTTTACTTTTAAAAAATTTCTTTTCCTTTCTTTTAGATGTTAGTTATAATGGACTATTGGAATGATGGACTGTTAGTTAAAAAATTTCCTTCTGTAAATTCAGGGACATTCAGTAGTAAAATGGACTGTTGGAATGATTTTAAATTTAGTTCTTTTTTTGTTTAATTATTAATATAGGTTCATAGTATTTGGACCTCTTTGTAATAAATATTATTACTGCGTGATGGTGTGGACATGGCATGAATTGGCCAGACTTGCAACAAGGCCCAATATGGGACTCACTTGAGCAAGTCTGGGCCCAGGCGAATGGGCCTGGGCGTTAAACCCAGTAGAGTGATGTTTAATTGTGAAGTTTTCCATGAAGATTATAGTATAAAAACATGCTATTATGTCTTGCTAATTCTGTGTTTAATTTTTAACTAGCATTGTTGTTTGATCTTTGAATACTGATTTTTACTTAACAACAATTGAATATAATAGGCGAATTTGGTTAGTTGTAGAGGTGGATAGGCCCAGCTAGAAAACATGTAGTAACTGGGCCCGCCTACATATAAGCCCAATATGGGTTGTTCCATTCGAACTCAGCAAGACGCCTTTGAGTCCCTTCTTTCTGGGCCAAATTCCAGCCCAATCTAGCTTTAAGATTGCTGATTCCCCTTACGTAAATAATTAATTGGCCATTGCTAGCACAAACTCCTTCTCAAAAGTGATTTAAAAGCCAAGCCTTTCACACCTTAAGCATGTCCTTGATTTAATAGATTCTTAGTGAATTTCAAATTAGGAGTAAAATATGAGTATCCTTATGCTTGGCTTAAGTGAAATACAAACCTTGTTAAAATAAAGTTGAGGTGTGCCATACACTCGTAGAGAGTATTAACTTATGGCCCTCACATTAAGTATTAACTTAGTATAGAGAAACACCTTTCAAACACTCGTAGTTTGCTTTAGTCGCGTTTATAATCATCATAGCTACGGGTACGGTTCCCGTGACGTAGTTGTGATACCTAACTCCAAATTCCGGGGTACATTTATGTGACCCGGCCACAACTTCTAATAATGTTAATAATTTAAACATGTTATAGATTGTGGGTACGGTTCCCGTGACACGATTCGCAATGTGTATCAAACAAACAAGTGTACGACAATCGTAACTTGTTCCAGAATAATTCCATAAATAGTTAAAAGCGATTAAAAAGCTAAAATGCACAATAGGTTTAACGTGTAGTAAATCAGATAATAGGCCAATTATTAATAGTTTAAGCGACCGTGCTAGAACCACGAAACCCGAGAATGCCTAACACCTTCTCCCGGGTAAACAGAATTCCTTATTTAGGATTTCTGGTTTCGCAGACTTTTAAATAAAAGTCGATTCTCCTCGATTTGGGATTTAAAATAAACCGGTGACTTGGGACACCATAAAATTATCCCAAGTGGCGACTCTGAAATAAATAAAATAATCTCATTTCGAATAATATCACTTAAATTGAAAAAACTCCCTTATATCGCCCTCGGGGTGGTAAAAAGGAGGTGTAACTTTAGCTACAGATTTCATTCAGTAGATAATATTGTCATAGTTAGATGATTTTGAAAATCCCCTGTTACTAATAAGCAACGGGTTTCGTAGTTAATTTCTTGTTTAGATCGTCTGGTTTTATTGTCACCTGGAAAAGAAACAGTTTCCAAGTTTTCTTAGTTTTTATGAGATAAATAATGTTAAGCAATATAATTAACATACTAGGAATAACTCATCTTATTTTTATATCAAATTTGGATAACAATAATAATAATAGTCACCATTCTAGTGATGAAATTTTTTAGTTTATATTGTAACCAAGATAGTATTGCTGATAACCGCAGTTCCTATTCATCACTCCAGCACATTATCCCCACCCAAAAGAAAAAGAAAAAAAAGGACTTTGTACTGATGTATAACGTGTAGGGTTTGCATTTCCAGCTGAGTAAATAAAGAAGAAAGATTCAATAAAGAAACTAAAATGCCAAGCGAAAAGGAAAACAGACGAAGAAAAGAAAAACATTTTTACAGGGAAAAAATAAAAAAAGAAACTAACATTTCCTTCTCGAAGCCATTGTTTAAGCTGCAAAATGTAATAAAAATTAGTTCATTCAGCATTACGTCCAGCAAAATACACTTAAATCATGTGTTCATTCTCCCTATATATCGTGAATTATGGATACTTAATTCTGTTAAAATAACAAATAAATTACTGCGTCCTCGTTCTTAGCATACAACAATCGAAGGTTTAAGATACACAACACTTCCAACTTTCCAACAACAGGTTTTTGATTATGTACAATTAGATATCCAGTGCATAATAGAAAAACATTACTAATTCCTCAAGTGTTTCAAACACCAAAAATCGTGGCCTTGTCTCCTCATCAAGAAAGCAAACACCAAAGCAGAGCATCAAACCGCCTAGCTCGCCCTCAATTGGGAAGTAAAAAATCTTATAGCACAACTACGCTCTCTTGTTTCTTTAGGAAGTTCTCAATTTGTATAAGAACCTGCACACGTGCGTAATGGATATAGTTTAGCAAGATGAATATCGAGTTTGGTCTCATATTTACTTATTTAGGTCTATCAGCAGGGTACATGAAGCAGCGAGCACAGAATATCACTGGAAGAGGGAGGAATGCAAGTACACAAGTATTAGAAAATCACTTTAAGGATGTCAAGAAATACGTATTAGCATAAACATATATGCATGCAAAGAGATGCAGAGGCGGAGAGCCAACAGAGAGTAACGACCTCTAGAGTAATTTCAGTAGGTGTAACATGGCAGACATCTTTTCCCCTTTTCACTGCAATATCTGCAAAATTGAAACATCTATACTTCAACATACAGGCCACGAAAATGTATGATCAGTGTGTTTAATAGGTATAGCATTCGGAAGAAGGATGTATGATGCTTGGTCAGAAAACTGAATTCTCAAAATGTAGAAGTTATGGACAAGAAGCAGAGCACGAGGAGTTCATACTTTCTAGTGAAACCTTGGCACTTGCATTGGCATAATTTTCACCCCTTGTCTCCATTAAAGTAGTTAACCGCTTCAAAGTCTAACCAAAGTCAAAGAGGTATCAGCAGGACAAACACTACATGTCTGCGTCAAAACAGGAAATGATAAAACTAACTATTGGAAAGAAAACTACTTTATCATAAATGTCTCCTGATTCTTCATGTAATAGGGGGCGAGATTTAGTTCCTTCAGCAGTAATTCTCTTGGCCAAAGCATCTAAAGGAACATCTAACCAAACACTAATACCCTTGTGCATATGTCTCCTGAGAAAAGCATTAATAGCAGCCAAATAAGCATATGTCACCAGAAAACCACAGCGTAAGATCCAGGAGTTACAAAAATGTTCATTAATCTAATCTGATTCACGTACCAATTAATGGGACGAACAACTGCACCTCCACCTGTTGAAACAACAAGCCGATGCATCGCAGACAGCTTGTGTAATACCTCCGTCTAAATAGAAGATATGGAATGAAAAACCATTTAATATCAGGAATGAGAGGAAAGAAATTATCAGCACAATGATAACACCAATTAAAATTGTTCACCACACGGAGTAGCAGTGTTAGTATCAGCTAGACTTGGTAAAGTGATATAGAACTAAGACGTATTGTATCTCATGTGCCGATGAGACAGTCTAGAGCTTATGTATATACTTAGGTGCATCAGATCAACATAATCTAAACCACAGAAGTCTTGGCATATCAGTAGATCGATATGACTGGTAATTTGGCCTGTAACTTATCTTTCAATGAAGACCTGAAGTGCACTTCAAACTCGGTGCAACTAATTGTTAGGGGAACTAGATCAATAGCCTATTGAAGTTATTCTCATAGAATTTGCCTCATTTGTAATTTAAAACACAAGATCCCTTTTTTCACAAAAATAGAAGTGGATACATTAAAATAAACACAAAACGTAATCAACAACAAGTGAGCACAATTTAGGTACAAACCTAAATAAAAAAAGAATTCTTCATACTGCCAAATGGTAGTTCAGAATCCAGACGAAACATCTCCCAATATGCCCTTTGTATTTATAAAAGCTTTAGATTTATTTTGGAAGATACTTTAGAATTCAATGAATTTGCCCACTCCTTCATTTTCCACAAAAATGACCCAGTTCACATCCCCCACTTTCCCCATCTAACCAACACGCTCTATCAACTTCCTTCACCCCTGAAAGCTCATGTAGTTTTTCCATGTCCATTTTCCAAAAGGGAGAGAATTTCGTTTAGTCAGCAATTTGCACTTTCTCACTTCAAAAATAGAAGGTACAGCAACTTGCAATCTTACTGGATATTTCATCAATTCTTTTTGCATTTATACAAGCATCACAAAAAAGATAAGAACACACACTTATTTGGCAAGAAAGCTAATATGAGAGTTTACATGCTCAATTTCACCTGACATGTCAAAGATGGAGGCTCACTCATCACTTAGTTCAATCTGGTCAAAGTTTCACTTCCCATTCCCCTATCCGTAACACGTCATACTTAAGACGTTAATCTAGCAATTTTCCGGCAATTCAATCTGTACTGAACGAGCATGTTATTAGACGGAAACAACGGCTACAAGAAATACTTCAAATTTTTAACACAATTGTAACACCTCCTGTCATGAATCAAGCACTTCGAGCACCTTCATTTCAATGTGTGGCAGCAAGAACAAGAAAAAACAAAAGAAGAAAGTTGCTTAGCTCCTAACCTCATTGTCCCTAAAGAAGCTCTCTCCACGAAGCTTGAAGATTTCAGCTACAGTAGTTCCACCAACAGCCTGCTCTATCAGCCTATCACTGAAAGATGGGCAAAAGAGAATGACTCGCCTTTATTAGGCGAAACAACAACCACAATTGGAGTAGAGGGTGTCAAATGATAGTTAACGACAAGTTGGCAGCTGGTTATCGAGCTTCACTACTCATGCCAGTTACTTAGCCCTCAGAAACTGTTGGAATGATATTTCTCATGAATCTACAATTTCCAGGGAACAGAAATAAAGAAAAAATATGCTACTTAGGCTCACCAGTCAAAAAAGGAATATCCCAGTGTTTCTGCCAAAATCCGGCCCACAGTTGTTTTGCCAGAGCCCATCATTCCTATATTTAGGAAAAAGTGTCGTATTACCATATCTAACAGGATAACCAGAAATGGTTAAGGATTTAAATAAAAGGCTGGCAAACAAACAAGCTCTAACAGGATTTGCATAAGTCGTAAGTATCTATTTAAACAGAAAAGTCATAGTCAACTGACCAACGAGGTAAATACATCGTCCATCTAGATATTCTTTAACCTCTTCTGATTTATTCTGCAACCAAAATGAAAACTGATACTATTAGAAGCCAGTCTAATAATACACAACGCAACTTCTTATTTATCCTTAACAGTTTTCTTTGAAAATTGGAATGGAGGAAAAAAGAGGCGACCATACGTTTCCCTTCCCTTCTTTGGTAAAGCCAAAGGGGAAAGAGAACGAGAGAGATGAAAATGCATCCCGTAACTTGTTCTTATTCTCTATAGCAACTAAACGATAAGTTTTCTCCAACTATCACTTAAGGCATGTTTGAAAGGTCATCTTGTAATTGGATTTGGGTGTAATTGCGTGTAATTACGTAGTTTGACATGTTTGCCTGGCCAAGTAATTACTTGGTCGGCCTGGAGTAGGGTGTAATTGAGGAGCAAAGAATAGGTGGTAATTACATGGTATGATTCCCAGTGACTTCTCAAATTCTTTCTTTTTTCATTTTTAAGTTCTTATATGCACACATATTTGTAACGCATTAAAATTTATTGACAAGTTCATCTGAAAAATGTTTATTAATTTTTTTATACTTAGCTTTTATTTAAAATAAAGAATATCAAACTATCTAATTACTCTTGTGAAACTAAACATTACACTGAGAATTACACTGTAATTACGTTATGACAAACAAACAGATCATCGTAATAGCCATATTGGTGTAATTACTTGACCATAATTACTACCTTAGCAATTACACAGTGGTTTCCAAACAGGCCCTTAATCTTCTCCGTATTTACATTCCCCTTATTTCTTTCATTTCTTTTAGTTTGCTAGTTTCCAACTAAGGTAGACTTCCTACCGCAAGACTTCCATATAAAATAAAAAAGGATTTTCTACCGCAAGAGACATTGACTAGATAGGCAACATGAAAATTCTATGAACAGACATGAGAGTCCGTTACAAAGATAATATGAATGAAAAGGTAAGGAGGTGAAAGGACATATTATCATACCTTCAGTGTCTCGATTTCATCAGTTGATGCAGTAATACATTCAGAATCCAGAACTGAAGCTATCAAACAAACATCACAGTTCAATAAGAAATGGAATAACATATTATGTTTTAGTGTTAAATTTTCCTATCCTGCTCCTTATTTTTTGTGTGAATGGGGAGCTGTGGAAGAAACAACATCAGTTCTAATCTCGTCTTAACCATGCACATCGCTAGTAACAAAGTATACATGTGGTGGCCTTAATGTCAGTTTCCAGCTATTTAGAGTGGATATAATTTTAGGTGCATCCAGAAAACACCCGTGCATGAAAGGTATATTAATGGTCATACAAATAAAAGCATGTAAATATTTCCTTCAACAACTAATATGGAGAGAAATGATGAATTTCTCTCTCGATCTCTCTCCCTCCCTCCCTCCCTCCCTCTCCCTCGGTAGTCAAGATTTTGTAGGGAAGAAAACGAAGAGTAAAAGGTGCTCACCGCTTTCGTAGACAGCATAATGCTGCACTTTGCTGACGAACTATATAGGAAAAACAGAACTATCCACATGTTTAACTATGTAATGGCAGGTATCAAAAGTCTACTCAACTCCTCGTGGAGCCATATAATATAATTTAAGTTCAGAACCTCGTCAAAAGCATGAGATCAAGATTCATGGCCCTTTTATTAAAAATTACATGCATGATTGTAGAAACAGAATCATCCTTGGTGAAAATTAATTCATATATTTGCTACCCACGAGGCGACTGGAACTTCATAGATGTAAAAATTATATAAAAAAATAAAAAAAATTAAAAAAAAAAACTCATATTTTACTGACCAGGAAAAAAAGGAATAACACCTATGTGAGATTAGATCCTAATTAAGGTGCTAATCAAGTCTAAAATTTTTAGCAGATGAAACTTGAAAGGTAATATAATATGATGCTCCCAAAAGTCAGATTTGATACTGGCAAACGTGCCTGGCTTCCTATTCGAATATGTAAACTTCGTGCACTGTTCTGCTTTCATGTGAACCAAATCTCAGGCAAAATTCCTAATCATCCATTCACGGCGCGTCGATTTCAAAAGAAGTATTTACATTTATGTCCTTGTTTCTTTGTGGATTCCAGAAGGAATGAAGAGCACACCTCACATAAACCATTGTAGATAAACAGCGATACTAAGTGATTCAACATTCTCCTAAGAATGTCGGGAGGTTGACTTCTAATTTAAAGTTTTAAATTTGGGGTTTGTGAGAACCTGTTGGCAAACTTTTATTAATGATTCTGTGTCTTAATCTTCTAACAGATTAACACCTCGACATATGATAGCTGACTTAAGTGGATGTTAATTTATTCGTCTGAGTTAAGTTGGATAGAATTTGTGTTGCATAGCAACACTGCTTTCATTAAGATGTCAATAAAACTACGGTCAAGGCGCTTCATAAATTTTTGGAGATTTAAAAAACTTTATGTGCATTAGGATTAACGATCCAACAAAAAATTGGAAACCACCACAAATCAGAATGTCAAGGTGGTGGCAGCACATGAGACCAAAGAAGAAAATGAACTGCACGTAGCAACTTACAGCCAGGAAAAGCTTAGTCTCAACGCTCCTAAATCTGAGAGAATAAACCACTTGACATAAGTGTGGAGAATAGAAGAAAGTGTGCACCAATAAACCTAGCAGCACCTTTTCAAGATGCACGCACTCCACAAATCCGCTTAAGTCATGCTACATTCAGAAGTTTTCTTCCAATTGTAGGGGGGAAATCAAGTAAACTCACTTGATGCTTTTTGTGCGTATACATACTCAACATGATCAGCAATTGGTATCGAACCCAATATCTTTTTATATCAAGGTTCACCAACGCTACCAAGCACATTAGTTTACTTTGTCACTTCTAGGCCTAATGAGTTGTGACTAGTTTAAATTATTGACTAATCCAGGCTAGTCGCCTGAAGCTCCTTAGGAAGCAAAGCTTCGGTTAGGAATACTAAAAGGAACAGGAAATGGCAAGAGAAGAATTTTCATTATTACACCCTCCAAATTCTAATCAGAGGCATTTAAATTTTAAACAGAAGAAGGTATGATAGATAAGTTCCACATTTTCTAACATGAAGTCAGTTTAATATTTCCCTCTTTTTCTTTGGACTAACAAATGACCAAAAGAAATAGGTTGTCCTTGCAATCCTCTCTTGTGTCTGCATTTTTCAAGCGTGACGGGGCAAAAAGGAGAAATAGATATACAAATGAATTGCACAAGGACGTGGAAAGGGGAATATCATCACTAACAATGAGCTAGCTGCTCAAGGGGATATTCTAATTGCAGTAAAAGGTGATCTTAGTTAGAAAATCAACCATCACCCTCATCCAAAGAACAAAAATATAAATAAAAGACAAAAGAAACAAAGGGGGTTGGGAGCTTAGGATTTCACCAGAAATTTTCACCAAAATTCAAACCCATAGGTACAACGGGGCATAGGCTCACCAGAAAACATTATCCCCAACACTGCAAACTACTCAAAGTATGCAACACTCAATTGCATGTTTCAAGCATAGCACACACAACTACAAAAACTACTACTACTAGTATCACTTAGTCCCAAGCTAGTTATGGTCGTTATATGAATCCTCCAAATCCATTTCACTCCATTCAGTCCCACTTCATTCAACTGAATATGTGTGTATGCCTTTGACATAAATACATATGTATTTTCAAAACTCTGCATCAGTCGCATGTTTCAAGCATACAATGCACAACTACTATGTATTCTACTGAAGCGAATATTTACGGAATATGAGACTGCAAATACTGGTAAATACCTTGAACATTATGAGAAGAACATGAAACCTTCAATGCTACTCGTCTATTAGCTTTTCTAGGCTGTAAATGGCAGGATATGACTGTACGATGCATCAGTTTTTCATTCCATTTCTCAGAGAAACGCAAGCAACCACCGGGTTTCCTTACTACCTTATCCGAATTAATCCATGACGACAACTGAAGGCTCTGCGAAACTCTAGCCTCCATTTACAGTTTCTACTCCACCAAACACCACAAGAAAAACTTTGTCCTTTTAAAATCAGAAAGAGCTGAAAAAATACTCTATATTGTCACCAAGCTTCTGTTGCCTGCTAAATCCAGAAAACCCCAGAAACCAGACAATTAATTTTCCTCGAAAACTACCACAAAATTAGCAAGGTTAAAACTTTTAAAGAGAAAGCCAAGATTTATTTCACCCAATTTCTAATAGGCAAAGAAAAACAAAAAGGGGCAAAAAATAAAGCAAAAAGATGTCTTATTCTTAGTTTTCTCAAGTTTTGAACAATCAAAACTTGAATAGCTCTAGAAAAATAAAATAACTGAACAGCTCATTACTCTAAAGAAAACATATAAACACACGAAAGATCCAATATTTGGGCGAAAATTCATCAGAAATTGAGAATTTGTTGACTTGTTAAAAATATAATATACGAAAATTGACTTCTTTTAAAAAAAAAAACTTAATTGAGAGAATAGAACTGGCACCAATTCAGCCTCTTTTAACCAAAAAGGAAAAAAGAAGATAAATATTTACTTTAGAAAAGAAAAGTAGATAGTTGAATTAACAGAAATCAAACTATTTTCTTAAAACTAATCTCTTCTAAAACCCAAAACAGAGCACACAAAAAAGAATTATCAATTAAATCAGCGTTAATTGAAGGATTTAAAAAAGAGACCTTATTGAGCAGAAGAGCAACAAAAAGTGGAAGAGTAGTTTACCATATACGTATGAATCAAGAAGATGAAGACGAAAACGAAGAATTAGGTGAAAGGGGAAAATAGGGAAGTAGGTGAGGGGGTAGGTGTGTGTGTGTGTGGGGTTTAAAATGAATTTATATATATACGACGTGTGTGCGGAAAGGTGCCATGTTAGGTGAGGTGGATAATTTGTGGAAGAAAAAATATTCTAGAAAAATGAGTGAAAATTTTCGATTTCATTAAAGACAATCTTTAAGAAAGGAAAATTAAAAATTAAGTTTTTGGACATAACAAATGTAAAATTTGAAAAAAAAAAAGTAATTTTTAAAGTTAAGTTGAGAATTGAAAGTTTGGGTATGTATTTTACTTGAAAAGATATTGCAGTATTATGAGTAAAAAAAATTATTTATTTGAAAATGAAGTAAAAAATACTTTTTCAAATTTAAAACTCATCTTTAAATTTTTTTGAAATTCATCTTAAAAATTCAAAGAATTGTATAACTAAGAAATATTTTAAAGATGAACAAAAGCACCAACAACATACCAGGTATAATCCCACATAGTGAGGTTTGGGGAGGGTAATGTGTACGCTAACCTTACCCTACCTTTGTGGAGTTAGGGAGTTAGGTACCACAAATATTTTAAAGATGAGTTTCTCAACAAAAAAAAAAAAAATATATATATATATATATATATATATATATATAATAAATAATATTTTTTACCTCTAT